GTTTTATTATTTGTTGATGATGATGATGAAGAACCTAGCAAGAGTAGAAAATGATTAAGGTGAATAGATTGGTTGAATTGTTAGAGATTTGTAAAAGTTGAGGGTTCCAACGAACCCAAGTGCAGGTTCTATGGAACCCAGTGACAAAAGAAAAAAAAAATTTTTTTTGTTGGTTTTGTTGTTTGAGGATGATGAATAACCTAGCAGGTAGAGATTGATTGAAATGTTAGAGATTTGTAAAAGTTGAAGAAAGGAAAAAGGAAAGTGAGGAACAAAAAAAAAAAAATTTGATCAGGTAGAATTTCAGCTCACAAACAGTGCAAGCTGGACTTGCCAACATATCAAAAAAGTTTGAGTTAGTGTTGACACGTGAATATATGACGAAGATTAACGATTCATGTGTTGCACGTGATCTTTAGATATTAAATTTTATCTTATTTTTTTAAACTTGAAAATATAAAAAATAAAAAATTATATACTATAATATAAAAAGTAAAATGCCTCCAATTTAAAAAGTTAAAGGGCAAACGGAGGGTTTTTGTCAAAATAAAGACTACATAAATTTTTAATGGCCAAACATGTTTTTATGATGGCAACCAACGCATCCAACATTTAACCTTATCCAAAGCACTGGATAAGAATGCTACGTTTTCGACTACCAAACTGAAAACAAAATGTAGCCATTGTGTTGATTCTACGGTAAAAAATTTAAATTTCTAAATTAAAGATTTAAAGTTTTCGGTGAGGAGAGATTTGATAAAGGGGAGATGTATCACTAGTATATAATCCATAAATAGTATGAAAACAAAATGATAACGGTGGTGATTTAAAACAATAGGACACGCGTCAAGCAAGCACATAGATCTCCATACACGTCGCGCACATGCAATCTTCTCCTCTTTTTCTAGTATTTTCCTTTTCTGAAATTTTTTCATTTCATAAATAATAATAATTATTATTATTACTATTATTATTATTATTTTATTTCGCTTGCGATTTGCTTCTTCTCCCACCTTCTGGAAAAATAGCAGCCAGCAGCTCACCCTTTATCGAGCTCACTGATTCCATGGCGTTCGCCCACCATTTGGTTGCAATTCCGGCGGAAACCTCAAAGTTCGCTAAGGCTTCGGTATATCCATTTTCTTCTTCTTCTTCTTCTTCTAATGAATCGTCTTTTCCTTCTTTATCTTTCAGTTCTTCTTCTTTCTTCTCTAAAGCTCGAAATCTCTCCTTCTTCCCCAAAATCCGCAGAATCGGGCACAAAGGTAAGTTCAATTCTTATGATTTTCGTTTTTCGGAGTATATTACGGCGTAAATTTAAGTTGTTTAGTCATTTTCCTGAACAAGTTTAGAATTTTTGGTTGGTGGTCAATTCCAGATTCCTGACTTCCTGCTATTAATTTCCAGTTCTGATTTAGTCTGATAGTTTTAGATCCTTTTGAATTCATAGATACTCTTCAATTTTATATGATTTTATCTGTATTGGAAAGTTAAAATGGTTCTAACTGCAAAATTACTTTTCAAGCTGCATTTTTTTAGGGGAATCCCCGTGCAAAGGGGTATGTTCAAGCAAGCTACATCGTTCTGTTATTATTTCTAGTCATTTTGTCAATTGATATGTTTGTTTTATAAATTGCTGGCTTGTGATTCGGTTCTTTTGGGTTTGGTCTAATTGCTATTAGCCAAGGTTAAGCCTCAAGAAAATGAAATCAGTGTAGCTGCTGATGCATTTACTCATTTCAAGCACCTGCTTCTGCCAATCACTGACCGGAACCCTTATCTATCTGAGGGGACAAGACAGGTGACCTTTTCTTGAGGAAACTAAGTTTTATAGCATTCATTCTAATTTCATTGAAAAATCAGTTTTTTTTTTTTTTTGCCCCAAAAGAAATTTCATTCCTTTTTCCTGTACATGAACAAACAATGATCATTTGTACAAGAAATCATCATGTTATATTTCCTGTTAGTTACACTTTGATATAATTTTCAAGTATAAATTTCAGTTTTCTTGTTATGAAACATTGTAGAGCAGAGTCTTGCAAGATGCAGATAGTGCAAAAGGGTAGCTTTGTTAGCCTCTAGCAGTCTTTGCTTCTATTAGACACAAGATTTGGATTCTATATGTGCTGCTTTTTGCATTTCATTCACTATTTGGTTAAAAATTTTGGGGCAGGCTGCCACAACTACGGCTGCTTTGGCAAAGAAGTATGGGGCTGATATTACTGTTGTAGGTATGCCAACTGACTTTGCCTCTGCCATTTCATGCATTATATTGTATGTTAGTTATTGAACATTTAAGGATTATAGAACTCTTTGTTGTTTACAGTTATTGATGAAAAGCTCAAAGAATCTTTGCCAGAGCATGAAACTCAGCTGTCTAGCATTCGCTGGCATCTCTCTGAAGGTCAGTATGCCTGCAAATTCTGTGAAAATTCATTTCTGGGTTTTGTGCTACGTACAAGAAGTTGTATGATGGTGCCTGTACTGTATACTAAGAGAAAACAAACAAGAAAATAGCATCCATAATATGTGCATCGTTCTTTTCATGAATTAAAAATTCACCATAAAGGTATTCCCCCATGTGGCTGCAGTAGCGGCCACGCTTCTCCAAAGTGAGAAGCAGGTGGAACGCATGTCGGTCGAGTCCTAAACTCAACTTTCCTCGAACAGTTACTAACCTAACACTGTATTTCTTCCTATCAAAAAAAAAAAAAAAAATCACCATAAAGTACTTCCGTTCCATAGAATCCATGCAGTTGAATAAACCAGACATTCATCTGGATTTATATAATTTGTTCAGTCATTACAATTATAATCATAGAGATAAGAAAGATTTCTGGTTGGTATGCTGATGAAGTAAAATCTCAATATTGAAACTAGGTTGGTACGTCAACTCTGTTTCTTAATGTATTTTTGTTTCTTTCAAAAAAAAAAACGATTTCCTTCTTGGAAATGCAAATTAATAACTAATTACGACAACGAGAAAATTGGCAGGTGGATTCCAAGAATTCAAGTTGTTAGAGCGACTTGGGGAAGGAAGCAAGCCTTCAGCTATCATTGGAGAAGTTGCTGATGATCTGAATTTAGACTTAGTTGTCATGAGTATGGAAGCCATCCATTCCAAGCATGTAGATGCAAATTTGCTGGCTGAGTTTATCCCCTGTCCTGTCTTGCTTTTACCCTTATAAAATGTATAGCATTTCATGAATCAAGTAGTAACCGTGTTGAACTGAACTGTTCCGCAAATACCAGTTTTCTTATAATAATAGGCTTTTGTGATATTCACCTTATTCACCCTCCATATTCTTTATTTGCTTGTTTATTGTATTACATAGTTTAGCGTGGAACTTCTGTTTGTTTTGAGTATTTTGATACCATATTTTGAGCCTTTGCAAGTTGGTGTAAATTAGACGTTAATTCTTCCTCTGTTTTCAATCAATATCTGCCATAACAGTTGTTAAAATCTTAAAGTCCCGAGCAAGATTATAAATGAAAGACAAGGGGCAGGCGGAATCTGCTTCACTGTTGAGTGTTTAGCTGGGAAGTGCCATCTTGGGAAGGAAAAATAAAATGGAAAATTACGTGCTGGTAGAGCTCTGAGGCAAGAAGACGACGTCCCCAAAGTTAGAAAGTAATACAGCACAAGACAAATGCAAGTAGTAGAAACGTGGAATGCAGACTTAGCAAACTACATGGTTCATTTTGCTTCGAAGAAGCTAATAAGGGCAGCCCTTTAGATTACAGGGTTGCTGCGAAAGGATCCCAAGGCTTTGGCGGAAGCTCTGAGTATATATTGGTGATATATCGCTGCAATAACAGCTCCGATGAAGGGTCCAACCCAAAATATCCACTGTTTATCACAGAACCAAACGTCAATTTAAATCTATAGATGTTGGATATAAATTTGATATGATTTAAATACCTGATCATCACAGATTTTCTCATGGTTGTAGATCACGGCAGCACCAAAGCTCCTAGCAGGGTTTATGCCGGTACCGGTGATGGGTATGGTGGCTAGATTCACTACGAAAACCGCAAACCCAATTGGCAAAGGAGCCAATACCTAAAACGACTCCAATTTAAAAACATTATAATTAGAGAATATCAAGTAGCATTTTTTGGGTATGATAATGGTGTCATGATCATGTGCCTGATGCCTGACATTAATGGTACGTACCGGAACGTGGGAGTCACGTGCACTTCTTTTGGGGTCGGTGGCAGAGAAAACGGTGTACACAAGAACAAAAGTACCGATGATCTCAGCACCCAAAGCGGTCCCCTTAGAGTAGCCAACTGCGACGGAGTTGGCACCGCCACCGAGTCTATTGTACTCATGCTTCATGATTGCCTTCACTAAACCCACCCCACAAATGGCTCCCAAGCATTAAGACACCATGTACGCCAACGCCCGTACCAACGACACCTTTCTCGCCAGTCGCCACCAGCAGCCCCAACGTTACAGCCGGATTAATGTGACCCCCTAACAAAACAAAATAATGAAGCATATATAACGAATCAATAACAAGAACTTAACCGAGTTAGCATATTGGGTAAGAAGTATATGTCACACACCTGAGATACCAGCGGTGCAGTAGACGAGAATGAAAATCATGCCACCAAAGACCCAAGCTATCCCCAAGAGGCCAACGCGGCCGCAAGCATCGGTTTGCTTCAGGTGACCAATGACGGTAGCAACGGTGACATAAAGAAAGAGTAGGGTAGCCACGAACTCAGCAACAAGAGCTCTATAGAAGGACCACCGCTTGAATTCTCCGTAGTTGAACAATGGAGCCGGCGGTGGGTCCACGTAATCCTTGGCAGGTTGTTCCATTTTTTCTCTGTTGTTGAGAAATGGGGGAAATTGGAGAATTTAAGGACCGAAATTGGAGGTGTTGCTTTGAAACTAATTAAACAATCATACGTGATGAAATTAATGATGGGTCGGTCCATTATATATAATACAGCTTGCAGTCGCAGGCCCTGTGGAGAGAGCCGTTTTATGTGCTGTCTACTCGATGAAAACGAAGCCGTGCCCGAAAATGGATGCAATTTTGTTTTCTTTTTCTTGAGGCATTTCCTTCGTTGTAGTTTTATCTATTTATTTATTTATTTTTGAAAAGAGGGTGGGCGGTGTTAAATGTACTTCTTGGAATAATTCATTGCCGTTATAAGCAAACCTATCTATGCCGTTCCGTCCTGGTTGGTATGATGGATACGCAATAATTTTAAATTTAATTTAAAATGATATAAAGTTGAATTCTATTTTAGTTAAATATTAATTATTTTGGTTAAATTTTAATGTATTAATTGATATTTTGATATGCTAATCAGTGCACCGAGCACCTAGGCCTAGAGGTCCACTGGCATTAGTCAGCTTGTTAGGTGCATTCCCCCCTCCCCTGAACAGGTTTCGAACTCGCCTCGTGTCAAAATATTCAAAAAAAAAAAAATCAGTGCACCGAAATGATTTCGGTGTAAGTTTTCTTCTTCTCTTTTTTTAATCTAACTTCAAAAAAATAAAAAAACCCAACATGCCATTTACCATATATTGATGGCAGATATTTTTAATCCTCGCGCACCAT